CATTAGCTTTCAAAACGTGATTTTAATTTCGTATTGAAATAAAATGTGATGATTTTACCTCACGTGCGTACGTTGTGTTACAATACTGTCGTTTCTAGGTGGGACATTGTCTCAAGGTCACTGCAGCGTGTGGGACGTATAGTCGATTGTCACTGGAATGGCGTGGCAACTGGGGATATTAGGAAAACGTGTTTAAGCAGAGAAAAACCACTGTCTTACTAGAGCGAAAAAAATGAAGACTCCTGTGGATAGAATTACACAAAACATGGTTTGTCTTACCTGATACAACATCGAATTGCGTTTGGATGACTCCATGGATACAAAGTTCTCAAATCGAGAATTATTGTTAATGTAGTCAGAAAAATTTGAAGTTTGCAAGGGATTGAAAAGAGTTCTGCATCTTGAATTAAGGGAGAAATTAATTATTGGAATATGTAAATTCAGAAGAATGCGTTAAATAAGAATTTATGTATTTTTAGAATTTTTAATTATATATTTGACATGAAAATTTTTAAAGTTATTTATTTCTGAGAACGCAAATATTTTACGTTTTTACGGTGAAAACTCAGCACAGCTTTTTTGTAAACTACATTTTTCTTTACTTTATCTGTTGGCGCCATTATATGTAAGTCTTTTGTAGGACCACGTTCTGAGAAACACATTCTAAAACCATTTCCCCTCTTAAGTCATAGCAACTTCTTTTAAAGGTTGACACTGAAATTTATTATCTTAGGAAAACATAGTTTAAGAGGAAACTGAAAACCTTTAAACTCAAAATGAGTAATTAGGTGGCATAATATTACTTGAATTATCTGAATAAAAGGTTTCTCGTTTTGAATATTCTGATAAACTAATTCCCTGATAACAGATCCCGCAGGTCCAACACCAAAGCCCGCCACCGGCCACGATTCTCAGCCAACTCCATCCCTTTGCCATCCTCACAGCCCTCCTCCCTAAGAACCATCTTGATATTATTCTCCCATCTACTTCTTGTTCTACCTAGTGGTCTTTTCCAGAAGGATTCCGTACCAAAACCCTATATGCACCCCTGCCTCCGCTCCCCCACTCGTGCTACATGTCCAGACCATCAGATCATTCTATATTTCGCTATCCACACTATGCTAAGTGACCTGTACAATTCACGAAGCTCCTCGTAATGCAATATTCTAAATTCCACACTTATTTTATCACTCCTATATGGGCCGGGATAGCTCAGTCAGTATAGTGACTAGCTACGGGCTGGACGACCGGGGTTCGATCCCCGACGGGGGCAGAGGATTTTTCCTCTAGCCTCTGCGTCCAGACCGGCTCTGGGGCCCACCCAGCCTCCTCTACAATGGGTACCGGGGTCCTTTCTCGGGGGTAAAGCCGGCCGGGGCGAGATGCTGACCACTCACCCCCATCTAGTGCCGAGGTCAAGGAAGAGAGGAGCTATACCACCTCTCACCCCAAACGCCTACATGGCGTATAGTGGGACAAACTTTACTTTACTTTACTTTTAGGTCCAAATATCCTCCTGAGTACTTTTTAAACACTTGTAATCCACGTTATTTCTTCAAAGTAAGAGACCATGTTTTACAACCATACAAGACAACAGGCAAAATTATTGTTTATGTCCTGATCTTCAGTGTTTTGGATAGTAAACAAGATGGTAACAGTTTTTAAATTGAATAGAAACAAGCGGTCCCCGAATGTATTTTGCTCTTAATTTCATCATAGACCTCATTTATATTTGTTATTGTTCCCAGATACTTAAATTTTGAAACATTTTCAAATGATGTTACTTATTGATGATATTGGTCCCTTATTACAGCCATGTATTTAGTTTTGTCTACATTTACTTCTAGGCCTATTTCCTTGCTAGCCTGTAAGAGAATTTCTTTTAAAATGGCTGTTATTTATGTTATTCCTTGAATATTTTACCTGAAGTCTCGCCCAATTACGTAATTTTTTTGGAAAACTCGCCGAAAAAAATTTGGTGTTAGAGGTGTTGTTCTAGTAAAGTCTGCTGGTCTTTTATCGTGCTTAGTTTCCGAGCTACTAAATTTACCTGTACTGTTACTCAAAACTCAGTAAAGTTCTCGGAATTTTGACCTTTCTAAAATATCATCCTGGCATCAAAGCATTAGTGTGCGAAGTTTGGTACAAATTCGTCCTACCGTTCTCGAGCTGTAATCGAACACACGTACACACATATATTTCTATATATTTCCCTATTAGATTAATAACGTATTTATTTGTAAGCTGCAGTTACACGTATTCGTGTAATTAAAATATTAAAATTCTTATATGAATATTACATTACGATATATTACGTATTTGTATGGCTACGCCACGAACATCTTATGTAACTACTGTTTACATATCACTAATGTCGAGTATTTCTGCTGTATTCGTTTAATTTATTCAGATGGATCTTTGTAAGCCTGAAATTTACCAAGAATACCTTGGGAGCCTTTAGCGGCTGAAATGTATTGGAAAAGCTAGGGATGAACGTTAAGTGACCTCATGTACTTTACGAACCGTCACATTTATGTGATTGTACGCTGTATCAACTCATCAGTACAATAATATCTGATGCCGCAGTAATGTAAATTAAACGTAGTTACTCTGAAGATGGCTGTCTTCTGGGTTGTTGCGCAATGTAGTATGGTAGAAGTTTATCGACGTTTCAGACGTCCTTGCTTCTCCATCATCAGAGCAATGAGTAACTCATTGCCCTGTTAATCATTTAAATAGTCTGAAGCAATACTTACTAGCATGAAACTAGGATTGTCCTTATTTCTCCAACTGAATGATGGGAGAGTCCACTCATGAATGTCTTCTCTGTGTGTACGATGACAGCCATGATGTGTGTGACCAGTCACAATAAGACGAGGCTTCAAGATATCCAACAGCTACAAACCACAAACACCTTTGGGGGTACGCGAACAAAATGTTGAATACCACTGTACCAGACTATATTACGCAACAACCCAGAAGACAGCCATTTTTATACTCGTCGCCTTGAGAATCTTAAATATTACAACGCTGCTGAAACTTCAAATCCTACGTGGTTAGTTTGTTACAAATTTGGGTCTGAAGTGAATTTGGGATCTAATCGCTTATTGGTTGGATTGTAGTTTAGGTCACATCTCTTCCCTGTGACCCGCTATGGAAATATGTGAAATTATTCATTTAAAATAAAGGTAAACTGATAGTATGTGAGATAAATTTGGATACTATTTCTTACAGATTTCTCCATCATCGCAAAACATACATTTTATAAATTTATTGGTTTTGTTTCCGAATTGGTGAATTATTTCAATTTAAATAAAAGAATCTCTTATTGAACTGTTTCGACACCCCGAATTATATCCTATCAGTTAGTTTGTGTAGTGACCCTCGCCATCAGCTAAATTTAATATTGGAACAATTTCTACATCGTCTGAGTTCGACCTCAGGACCTGAAAATTACACTATTAACACGAGCATGAACGTTTGTGTGTTTTAGTACTGTTGATTTTTGTGACATATTTGTTATTGTTAATTAACAAAGTCGTGACATACAGACAGTTTCTCGCTGACTGATTTTTGCTTTTCTGTGTAGTTTCCTAAAAAATTATGAGTCGCTTGACTAGTTGAGAATATGCCAACATGGCATTCATCGTCTCTTCAGACAAAAACATAGTGACATCGACCTTAACAACTCCGTGGGGACAGAACAGTTTTGATAGTCGGTAAATATTCTCTACAGATAACACAACGTCGTTAAATAACTTGTAACCCGACTATCCGTCTTATCTTCTTTAGACACGTAGTGCAGAAGGAATACTTGATATAATTTCTAAATATTCTCTGCAGTCGATTTGCCGTTGTTAAACAACCTGGATTTTAATAATCTCATTTACTAAGCTGTGACAAACACTTTATATACTCGTTAAATGTTCCCTCTTTTCACAGTGTCATATGTGTTTGGACCTATGATTTCAGTCAATGTAAAATTATAAGCACACCCAACATCACACGTACGAGTACAAGTTATCTTTTGTGAATGAAATATCGTCTTCAGTATTCCATCTTAAGATGATAATGTTGCGTCATATTGTGATGATTATAATTGTTTAATTTTAACCGTCTAATCACAATAAAATATTTTATTGTGATTAGACGGTTAAAATTAAACAATTATAAAAAATTCCATCTTAAATAAATAAGTCCCATGTTTTTAATAAAATTGTCAATAGTGTTTATTAAAACTTAATTATCTTACTTCATCACGTAGTTCCACGAATGATGAATTATTTTAAGCACGGAAATGAAATAAAGTGAAATATAAGGAACAAGGCAAAATGCGAATATTAAGAACATTGAAGATTGCTGTCTTCTGGGTTGAAGATTTCTGTCTTCTGGGTTGTTGCACCGTGTAGTCTGGTAGATGTCCGCTAACGTTTCAGAGGTCTATGCTACCTCCATCATCGCCCTGATGATGGAGGCAGCAAATACCTCTGAAACGCTGGTAAACTTATATCAGACTACACAGTGCAACAACTCAGAAGACAGCCATCTACGAGGTATTTTTGTCTTCTGTAGTACGCAAAGGATAATTACCATATTCTCAAAATCCTTCGATTGGAGGAAATTGTTAATATTGTTTATATTAATCACACATTTACTATAGATACTTATTATTTCTCTTTATTTAATCTTCAGAAAGAAGAACATTTCATATACATTACATGTCGGCCTTAAAACAGCGTATTTATGACTGGCATTATTTCGGTTAAATATGAAATTACAACAAAGACATGTGAAACAAATAACTTATATGTTATTATATTTTGTCATCTATTTTGTACAAACTCTTAGTTATGACAGTACTCTTACATAGCAATGCAACACATTTACTTCACTACACATGAGAAATTAGCATTTCTCTTAAATTACAGATTCCTTTAGAAGACCAATAACGAGAAGAGAAATGTTTACAATATGAATTCGTGATAAATAAATAAATAAATAAATAATAAACAAATGGTTCAATAAATACTGATTAGCTTGTTATTACTAATGATGTAATGTACGAGGGTATCCCTTGTAACCAAAGTCTGTATGATAAGTCTCTAAGACACAGGGAACGTCCTCTTCGATGGAGTATGTGAGAGGATTTGTATATGATGGATTATAGAATTCTGGGGCAAATGGCCCGAAGGGTCCGCTGATGCCATATCCCGCTTTCTCAGCCGGATATGTTATAAATCTCTCCACATCAAGAGCGAGGGGTTGTACCACGGGGCCACTGTAGTATTTATCAATTTCTATTCCGAAATTTCTCTCCACATCGTGTGGTATGATTTTTTCATATGCGTAAGGAGTAAAATGAGAATTGACATCGAAATCTGATGAATATGCTTGAGGTAATGAAATAGGAAACGTTTTATCAGCAAAGACTTCAACGGTTCTTTCAATTTCGTAAGGGTAAGCGAGTGGTCTGTCAAGTACCACGGGTATGGATTGAGGTACATGGACGGGATACGGCCTGTCGACAGGTACGGGAACTTCCACTGGGTAGGGATCGGGAACTGCGATCTCCTTCTCGACGACGACTGGATATGGTTGAGGTGCGGGTACTTTCTTCTCTACAATAACGGGATATGGCTCAGGAATTGGAATTTGAACCTCCACTGGATAAGGTCGATCGACAGGCAACTCTACTTCAACGGGGTAAGGCTTTGCGACGTAGACTGGGTAAGGTACTTTGATTTCTACTGGGTATGGATCTGGTACTGGGACCTTGGTTTCTATGTAAACAGGGTAGGGTTGAGGATCTGGGATAGGAACTTCAACTTCCACAGGATAAGGGCGGTCTACGGGGACTTGAATGTACACAGGGTATGGGTCAGGATACGGGACCTTGACTTCGACAGGGTATGGACGGTCAATGGGAATCTTAACTTCTACAGGATATGGGTCTGGAACTGGTACCTGGGTCTCGACAATCACTGGGTATGGGTTATCAATGGGAACTTTCACTTCAACAGGGTAAGGTTCTGGGACTGGGATTTTAACAGGGACCGGATATGGTTGAAGTTCAGGGAATGGGACCTTAATTTCAACCGGGTAGGGACGATCAATAGGTACTGGGACTTCTACAGGGTATGGTCTATCAACTGGAACTGTTATTTCTACAGGATAGGGATCGGAAACAGGAATTTTCTTCTCTACGAATACAGGGTATGGACGATCTACTGGTACCTGAACTTCAACGTAGTAGGGGTCAGGGTAAGGAACATTAACTTGTACGGGATATGGATCGGATACAGGTACTTTGACTTCGACAGGGTAAGGCTGCGGGTCAGGGATTAGGATTGGAATTTGGACTGGGTAAGGACGATCAACTGGTACCTGGACTTCGACGGGATATGGATCTGGAACTGGCACATTCACTTCAACTGGATACGGTCTATCGACAGGGACTGGGACTTCTACGAGATATGGAGAAGGAACAGGAATATTGACTTCAACTGGATAAGGACGATCAACTGGAACTTTAACCTCTACTGGATATGGTTCGGGAATGGGAACTTTAACTTCCACGGGGTAAGGATCAGCGACAGGTACTTTCTCTTGAATGATAATGGGACGAGGATCAGGAATGGGAATCGGGACTTCTACAGGATACGGTTGAGGTACTGGAACCTGGACTTCCACCGGGTAAGGTCTGTCAACGAAAACTTCTACTTCAACTGGGTAAGGTTGAGGAACTGGGTAGGGTTCAGGTACTTTTACCTCTACCGGGTAGGGTCTGTCGACTGGGATCTGAATCTCAACAGGATATGGGTCAGGGACAGGAATTTCAATGTGTACTGGTACCTTTGTCTCCACTGGATATGGTACTGGGTATGGTTGAGCTACTGGAACCTCAACAACCACATCTTTCTCCACCAGATATGGTACCAGCACATCCTTTTGAACCTCGTATGGAACTAGGACTTGTTTCTCCACCGTGTAGGGTACAGGCCTTTCAACCAGAACATTTTGCTTAACTCCGATGACGTCAGTTATGCTTCCTCCGGGATGAAATGCTGGACCTGCGCTACCAGGTGCCAAAGCAAAACCGGCGAGATGTTCTGCGATGAATTGATTTCCACCAGCTATGGGGCCCACGCCTCCAAAAATGTGACCAGGAACAAACGTGCGGCTTCCGCTATCAAACAAATGGTCGCCATGGAAGTGACCTCCCCCGATGAAGTGATCATCGCCAATTGAATGAATGCCACCAGAGAACAGATCTCCCAGAAATAAGTGATCATCTTTCACTATCTGCCTCCCATCGGCTAAAGCGATGAGCGCCAAAGTGCAAGTGCTGATGAGAAGCTGTGAAAGAAAAACGAATTTAATTTATGTAAAGGGGAAATTAAGTTAATATTTGGTACGTAACAGCATAATTATTATTTTTATTTTTTGCTATTAACAATAACCAACGGCGATCGTGGAAAAGTTCTGAGGCAGGAAAGTTTCTAGCCCTACTTAATACTTAAAACTAAAACTTTTAATAATGTAACTTCCTGTAGAATGTAAAAATGACAACAGTGATGTCGCGAGAAATCTACGTCTAGCTGTCGGTTTCTTGGTAATAAATCGCGAACCACTGGAGGTAAGAATGTCGAATCTTGCTTGGAGATAGATCGTGCCCGGCTAGTACTTGGAAAAAATAGTGTTATTTTCGTTATTGAGTGGTACTCCTTGTAAGATAAAATGGTTCAGACAGCCCATCACAGGAAATTTTGTACAGCTCGTTCAGGCTTAAGGTAGCCTTTTTATAGAATTTTTTTCCATTTTAATTGCGTAATATTCGCTGTACGCGTGTGCCGAGATGTGATTTGTGATATGCATCATGGAAGATGAAGTGTGATGTATATACTCAATTGTAAGTATTTTCACGACTTGGCGAACACTTCTTCATGAGTCAGTAATTGTTTGACTGTGAAATGTCGTTGGATGAAAATCATTATAGCTTATTTCTGCAACGTATGTGACAGTTTTCCGACATCTATTTTGAAATCTTTTAATTGACTTCACACACGTATTTTGAGAATAAAATATCAAACAGTCTCTGTATCATCATTATCATTAATTCAGTATTGAAATTTAGTTTAGAATTTTACAGATAAGTTGTCTCGTGACGAATATTACATTTTAATAATAAAAATTTTCTACCTGCTCTACAGTACATCGTAAAATATTACTGAAATATTTACTTTAGAAATTCATAGTCACAGAGTAAATAAGTCTTAGTGATAACTTTTACTCTTTCTGTATTTATCCATTGGCTGTAACATTGAATGTACAATAACGTATCAAGTCGTGGAGAGTCAACCCGCCTTTGATGACACAAGGGAGTTTGTTTGCTTAGCAAATACTCATTCTTGTCGTGCAAGCTGAAGGCAGTAAACATCACAGTTTTTGCTTTACAAGAATATTATGAACATGGTTGTGTTATGAAATATTACCTCTGTACTCTGATAGATATTGGTGACGTTTTAGACGAGCCTCCATAATCGCCCTGATGACGGAGGCAATATGACCTCTGAAACGTTGGTTAACATCGACCAGACTACACAGCGCAACAACCCAGAAGACAGAAATATTCATCGCCCTGATGACGGAGGAATTATTCACCTCCGAAACGTTGGTCAATATCTACCAGAGTATGCTGTACAGTATTGTGCCGTGAGAACCTGATATCTCTCCAATGAAGAGCATTACTAGCAAGCCGATATTTTCAACCAATACCAATAATATTTATCAGTTCAGTGGTTTTAGAACAATAAAATTTTTTATGCTTTTTTTTAAAAAAAGACTGTTTCTTTTTATACGCAGTTTTTTATTTACAGGCAAGTGAAATTTATTTTTCAGTAAGAACTGTGTTACAGTAGTAGATGCTTCTGTGATACCAGTAATAAATTATATTTTCATGTAGCATAATCGGAAAACTTCGAACTTCGAGTATTTATCTTGTCACTACCACATTCAAAACGAAACTGGAGACCTTCAAGTCTCCTGTTACAAGGACATTGACCACTTTCCTGGAAGTTAAATCGGGTAAAATATGAAACACTTCATTCAACCCAAACTAGAGTCCTGTTTAATAATGCCGGCACGTAAGAATTTACCTTTGACACTTGTACCATTGACGGCACATGGGAAGTTCTGAAACGGAACTCTTTTGCAAGAAAGTGAAAACTTCTTATAACAGTGGAAATCTGTTCACGGGTAGCAGCTAACCTTCGCATGTTTTACCACAGAGGTCGAGCACTTTGGTTGGACTTAATGTCACATATTTAGCAATGTCGTTAATACGTGTAGCAGAACCTTGCTAGAAACATTTCTGAAGTTAAAAACGCTCCGAGTTCATACACATTTCTTATGATAAACTTCAATTATAGTTTCAATCTGTTATCACATAGGATTTGAGTCTTTCGCTGCTAGTACAATCAATAAAATATTCTCGGGCATTCAGCCGCGTTAACTGGTTACCGTAGTACACCGACGTTTCGGGAACCAACTCTGTTCCCATCATCAGGGTTCTGATACGATTGGATACCTCGGAATTCTCCTGAGTTACACAGGCGACTTCCGAGGTATCCAGTCGTATCGGAACCCTGATGATGGGGACAGAGTTGGTTCCCGAAACGTCGGTGTACTACGGTAACCAGTTAACGCGGCTGATTGACCGAGAAGATTTTATTAACTAGGTTCAGCAAGTTTCAGTTATACCACACGCTAAAATAGGTGAAGACGAGGTGTTGTGGCTTAGATTACAAAGTTATTATCGTCTTTTAGGACAAAATTGACTCGGTAACAAAGATAAAAGTGATACGTTGTGTATGTCTTTCTGTAAACACGCATTTGAAACCTCAAACGCCAAGCTAACGGCTGACAATGCATGTTATTTCTTGCTGATCTAATGGTGCAAGTCAGCATTGAACACATGGGATGACACTCGAATTCATAAATTATTATTTCGTGACACGTATGGATAAAATATAATGGTGAATGGTCAGAACTACTGTTACGTATTCAGAAGTACATCGATTCGAATCCTGACATGGAGAATGATGATTCAGACTAAAATATTTTGTTACTTTTCTTAGTTCGTCCAGACACATCCGCTACAATACCACGACTAATGACTTTTATATACTTTAGAATTTTACATCCGCGTTCATTCTAGCATGTGACGCAGTGTAACTTACGAAATTGAGAAATGTTTCGTTGGTGTACTGAGAAAATTTTTTCTAAATGCATGGAACATGACAATCGATCCTGGCTGTGATGTTCGAATCACGGATTCCGAAAAATCAGTGAAAACGAAAAACCTACAGTCGACAATGATGATGTAGATTATTATTTGAGCTAATAATACACTTCTAGACTAATGTGTTTCCTACTTACCGATAGCCTCATTTCGCCTTGCTTAGAAGACCAATCCTGGATAAAGTTTCTTCTGAAAGTGTTGTCTTTTGATGGATACACATGCGCTTTATATTGTTTCGAATTGACTCTAGTTACGAAGTTTTCATTATAACTTAAGACATACGCGCATAATTAAACACACAAATACAAATGTTTCCCTTCTATGTAAGTACGTGAGAAATTTACAAACATAACTGAATAAGTACGTTCAACTTCAGACATTTTCAGTCGCATCGTTTTCAAAACAATTACATGAAGTAACCAAGGTTATTAATTGGAATTTAAAAATTATAAAGTACGTTCGAGTATGTCTTGAAAGCGTAGCTAATAACTGTGCCGTCTTGATCATTGTTCGGATTCTCAGATATTTATAGAGCTGTAATGGAAGGAATGACAAATGCAAATGAAATTATATATCGGTAAATCTGAAGAGTTGAGATCACTTTAGAGATTCAGGCGTTGGTGAGAGAATAATATTAAAAATGGCCTTATGGAAATAACATATGAAGGTGTGTACTGCGTTCGTATGACTCACATACGGACCAATGGCAAGTTTTTCTGATCATCACTCCTATTTTTTTCTACAAAGGCAGACAATTTACTTATAAACTAAATATCTATTAGATTCTCAAAAAAGGGCTCTGCTCTATGGAATTAGTAGATCTAAAGAAAAATTGCCAGAGATCTCAAAAAATGAAATATGTTTCAGATTTAAATAAAATCATATTCGACAATCGTAACTTAAAACTAACTACCAACATAACTCGTGGCGTCGAAATATTTTGTGCTTCATACAAAATACACTGAACGTCGTTGTCGAGTGGTTAGCACTCCTGTTTCGTATTCGGGTTCAAATCTCCTCCTGGAGCCGCGGATGTTTTTCGTGGTTGTCCTCAACCCCTCCAGAGTAATTCCGGGTTAGTACCTTACATTAGACCACGACCGCTTCCTTCCGGGTCCTTTCAATTCATTATTTACTATTATCTTCTCATTTGACGCTATATAATCTGTGTTACTGAAGAAGCGTAGTTTAATAAACAATAAATAAATAAAACAGATTTCATTGAATTATCACAAAACGTTTACAGTCGTAATCTAAGTTTCAGAAAATTTAAATATGTAGATTGCTGTTCATGGCATATTTGAAGGTAATAGGTCGAGGCCTATCCCATTATATGCCTCGAGGATCTGAGGAAAAACATGCAACCCTAAATAGCAGGTTGTCAGGCTGAGATTCAAATGGTGTACCTACAGAACACTATTCTAGAACCTATTTTATTATTGCTATTTCAAATATGGTCATTATTAACTAATAATCCTATATTTTGTAAGGTTAAAATAGGCCTAAGACCTTTACTGAAATAATAGACAGAATAAAGATAAGAAAATTTACTAAACAATGGATATTATAATATTAAGTCGAAATTTCACTTGGGCTCAGAATTGGACCGGTTGACGGCCTCTTGTGAACACAACAAAAAACCTTTTATTTCCATAAAAAACGGGGAATTTATTCATCAGCTGAGAAACTGTATCTCAGTCGTATCTCGAATTTTCATTTTACATTAATCAATCCGAAACTGTGGTCTCCTCAGTACTGTAACTCCAAATTTATTATTAGGCCAGTCACTGATGAGTAATGATATCACTCAAAGTCCCTGATTAAATGTCTTGTGTGTGTATTAGCTCAGTTACTTTTATTTATAGAATAAATAGGGTTATGGGCTTATGGTATTATAATATTTGTTCCCCTCCCATCTTCGACAAATTTCACGCTTACGTTTAAGACCAGAATGAAATCTCGTACAAAAAATCCACAAGAATTTATTTTGTATGTTAACATTTATAAACTTGGCACATAACAAAACTTGTGGGGGGGGGGGGGAT